GGCCCACGGAATGTGCAACAGTGCATGGGAAGGAGCTTTTGCTGTAATTCCTGGCAATTAATCGATCGCGTAGCTGGGTTTGTAACTGATCTCCGAAATTGCAACGAGATGCTTGACTTGGAAGCTGAAGAATAAAGTCACATACAGGTTGGCTTCCATCATGTTTGAGTGAATGAAATTTGGCTCGTTCAGCATCTTCGAAATTGGCCGTCTGTAGATGCTTCGGCAGCAAGGTTTTCAGGGATTCATACGACAGCGATATACGAGAGTCAGAAAATGCCAAATTCTTCAACAATGAGTATGCATCCTTTCCGATGACTGTTAGGAAATGAGCTGTTTTGCGTTCTCCATCTAGTCCTTTCCGCGTAATACACTAAATCTCGAACCGCTCAAAATAGTCTTCGACTTCGCGCGCACTGGTATCTATATTCAAGTTCTCCAAATTACAAGACTCCATTGGTTCAAAATGACCACGACGCCAGTTGTTGTGGTTATCACTCGGACTAGTAATTCGTATACGTATCGGATTTCGCGCAGTAATAGTCCAATCCAGAACTAGCACTCGAAATGAAATCAGAAGACAGAACTCAGCGACGGAACGGAACTGTAATGAGCGGAAATTCGGAATGTGCAAGGATATCGTGTTCAATAAAACAAAAGAGTTCATAGTTCATGAGCAATCACCACACAACACGTGAGTTCATTAAAATAGGAGTGTACATAATCGGCCACTCGTAGAGAGTATCATCTGGACATGCATATTGCACAGCTGGAGTATAACATCAGAGAATAATTGTTTAACACATTTTGTCGCGGTCGACGGATTCTGTGAACTACGTTTTGGACCCATGACAAGTTGACTGCAAGTTGAGCCATTGGTTCGTGTCTTTGGTTTTTTGGTCGATGATTGGATGCTTTTTGCATACGATCCATTATTTTCACATAGCCTCACGACGTCCCATAATTTTTGGGTGAACCTGAAGGACACATGGTGGACCGAGAAAGACATTTGATTAAATTTGAACCATGGTTTTGGGAAGTTCCACAAGCTCAAACTTAAAGAAAGCTATGACCTCTATCACTTGAAGGAGCTACTACTTCCAAATTGAATGTAGTCACTCATTTTTATCATATTTATTTGTGAAATATAACTTATATATCATAAAACGTTGGGTTTTGATCTTAAAATTGCTTACTTGTTTTTTAAAAACAGTTTTGCCAACTGAGCTTTTCCCTGTCATCGGATGGTGACTGGATTTGGAAGAACGTTCAACCCGATGATGACCAGCTTAACACAGGAAGCTAATTGCACACCATTTGTAAGAGCAGGTGTCGTACCAGCTACCAAATCATAGTGAAAAATCAATAACTCGTCCTGTCACAAGTGACAAAGTTTTACAGTGAATTGGAAACTCAGATAAATATGATTCGGGGTGAAAACTCAGCAACCGTTGTTGTACGAAAGCAATCACGATATCAATTGGTAACAGAAGATACTTCCGAAATGTAATATCTATCCAATTTTCTAGGTAGGGACTTTCTACCCATCGGGATAGACGCACCCAGACACATACACACTCAAGTTGTGCAAAAAGCAAAAGCAGCTAATGAACATCACACGACATCCATGTGATGAATCCGACTCTTATCTATGACCACCGATGTGTCCAAATCAATCTTGGTTGCGCGCCTGATTTAGACTTAAAAAACGTTTTCGACAACTTTCGAATCCTATGATGCCAGTCAGGTGTCAGAAAGCGTTTCTGAGCATTCCAAAATTATTGATCAAGCACCGAGAGAGGAACTATGAGATCAGGCACAATCCCATTCCCTCAGTGATCAATTAGTTTCGCAAACCCCGTGGTAGAACTGTCGTGATAAGTAGGCTGGTGCTCAAATATGTATGAGAAGAAACTTTTGTTTATACTTCTGCGCCGATAGAGTTTTCCTCATTTTCGCTTTACGATAGCCATTATGTAACTAAATGCTTCCCGAAGTCACAAGTGTCCGTAGGGGATACGATGAAACTAATAGATTAAGTCAAAACATTGATCGTTGATGATAGTTTTGATTCCTAATATTACCCAAACTGAACGATTGTTCGATATTTAATTCGGTAGGTTTATAAAAGAGCATACTTAAGGAATCAATAGTTGGGCGATTCGAATCAATATGATTACCGTGTTCCTCCGAAATAATTTCTACACAGAGACCCCAGAAACTGGTTAGCATCTATATTTTCACCCTAATCAATATTGCCATTCTGTTGTTCAGACTTTATGGGTTTCACTACTTCAATTCGCAGGGTTCCGGACATTCTCAATATTTCTTTCCATCACGTCACCCCTTGTGATCTGAGTCATTTGTATGCGCGCGGTAGTTTGGTTCAATTCCAGGTGTTTATATTACCCTTTCTGCTTACATCTTGTTCCATTCTGACCAGTTGTTGCATTTTAACTTATAAGTTACAACAGCAAGTATTTCAGTTCTCTCCTGGCAGGGTAATATAAATCACTACGATACTTTTTCGCGCAGGTCATCTGCTGAATTTCCACCATCATGCGGTGCATCACTCGTCAACTTGCCATTGCTATTTTCTGACAGTTTTCGATCATTTTTTTTAATTCCTTCTACTGAATATACAATCATATAGTTTTGAGAAAACAGAAGCGGTTAATCAGAAAACGAACATACGGCACAGAAAATGGGGAAAGCTACGGGTTGCAGCTATCATCTAGAAAGTCTTTATGGAACTGCATACTTAGTAGAGGTTTAATAGCATTGGTAAGGTCCATAAGAGCAATATGTCTTTATTCAGGGCGATTTTCTGCACGCGTGTGCAAAACGCATTTGCACGCATTCCGCTATTCACAGAGGGTTTACCCTGGTAGTGTAATTCAAGAGGGAAACTTAGCGATGTCAGTCACAACCCGCACCAACATGCATTAAGGACCAAACAAACACTCACAGCATATATATCCAACATATCAATCTACCCGCTCTGACTGATACAGTTCAAACGGGACACACAGTGAACAAACGCAAAACGACATTACACGCGGACAGAATAATGAGTCAACTTTCCGGTTAACGGTCTATAGTGAACCGCTATCACGTCGTAGGGCAGGTTGAGAAGCTAAGGTTATACTTAAACACATTCATAACTACTTATCAAATAGTGTCCGGTGAAATGAGCCCGAATGCGCACCGATATAGTTCAGACCAGCAACAACGCAGTTCCTGATTGTGATTAAAACGATCGGAAAAAGATTGTTCTCAGCCTGACCTCACGAATGACAAAACGCCCCAGCTGGAGTTCTAATACATCCATAAGTAGGTATTAGTGATATTTCCCCCTCTACACAATAACTTCTGTATGTGTATGTGTGTACTTGAAATAGAAAACCACACATTTGCGGGTCGATGAGTGATCGAATTGAGTGCACATATTATCAGGCCAAA